TGGGCCGCGGGGAGGCGGGGGCGGCCCGCTCCTCCGGGGCCCCGCCGGCCGCCCTCGCTGCCTGCGTCCCGGCGGGCCCAGCCGCCGCGGGAAACAGGTTGCCGGAGTAGATGGGCCGCTGAGTGCCCCTCGGTGACATTTCCTGGGAAGGCTGCCGTCTCCCTCTTCGCTCATCCGGTGAGAGCAAAGAGTCGGGGAGATTCTTGCTCGTCCCACGCGTTCTCCTGCAAAGTTAAAAGGCCGGAGACCATCGTTTTTTCCCTTCTCCACGGTTTTAAAAGGACAGGAAACAATAGCGTTTGTAGTGAAAGGCAAAGCATCCTAACTATTTGTTCAGGAGGAAAACCAAGTTTCTTTTCCAGGGGTGAACTGGTGGCACTTTTATTATAAGCCCATATTTCATTTGTAAATATATGATATGTCTCCAATATTCACTCTTCAGTCTTTATTGCCACCAGTCTGGGTGAATACTACCTGTCCTCTGTAATAATCAGTTTACTCGCATGCTAAATAAATAGATAAAGTGACTTAATTTGTTTAACGTGGCAGATGAGTGGATGTTAGGAAGCTCGTGGCTAATTGGACTAGGTCGTGAAGGACATGGGATATTCCACACGTGGGACATAGTTTCAGTTGTCTGTTTCTCTCCCTTATGAAGTCTGAGGCTAGCACGGTATATTCCAGAGGGGGGTGGGGGGAATGGAAGGGACTCTTCTCAACCCTTATTTATTCAAGCTGGTCTTCAAGAAGATTTGAGGTATTGGAATACGGGTAGACCAATACAGAGGCTTTTAGTATAAAACTTGGATCTTTGGAGCAGTTCTCTATTGCAGAAAATAACTTTGGGGAGTATACCTATAGAATAAATTGATTAATTTCTATTTTTATTGTTCTACGCTATAATATTGATCTAAAAATTAAGTGCTAGAAATGATTGCGTTAACTTCAGTAGAAACTAATACTCTTAAATAGCTTTAACATTTTTCACAGCAGTGAAAAATTATACAGGAAAGCACAAGAATAAGAGCCATCCATCAGTGATACAGTTTTAGCAATCTGTTGTGACCCAAGAATTCTGAAACTGATGAAATGATGAGCATTTTGGTCCTAAAAGTACATATCATGACAAAGTATCTTGTCCATTAACCTGTCATATCTGCTGATAAGGTTTTAATGCTATAGTCTAATTAGACTGTACTAGAGGAGTTAGCTCAGAAATTCAGTGGCTCTAGCTAAGTAGGTGTGAACTAAGGAAAGTAAATGTTTCAAATAACACAAGTACTTTCCATACTTAGGTTTGAGTATAGTTGCTGCTGTCTGCTTAGTGTGAATTGAGAAAGAGGTGCTGCTCAGATGTCAAGGACACCTGCCTCTAATGTGGAAGAGGTGGCAGCATGAGCATGTTCACATAAAAAGCAACTTTTTTTGGTCTGAAAACTCAAAGAAATCAAATAGGACAGTTTTATGAGCCCTGGTTTTCGCATGTAACTATCTGGAAGACTATACATGCACTCCTATGGGAAATACGATGTTCTTAATTTTAAGTTAGAATCTCTTTGCTTTATTTTTCTTCTTGTAATAGTGTTGGTAGTCTTGTAATCGTCAGCTTTAGCAGTTGGACTCAGTTTTGCCAAATAGACGTTCTGCTTTAATGGTTGCTTTGTACCATGCTCTAGTGAGTTCAGCTGTTAACTAGACTAGGTTAAGAAAGAAGACAAAACCTAGCATTAATGCCCCATTAATACTCCTAAGTTTTACGCCACACGTCATATATGTGTATATTTTCTAGTTCTAATCCAGACTACATAACTATGTTTCTGTAATGCCCAAGACAATTGTTTTAAATATATGCCTGTTGAGTTAATCTGTAAAATGGTGATTCTTTGTGTTACCACAGGAATAATGAGAGATTTGGTTACTAATTCCACGGTACTTTAATCAGATAAAGTGCTAGATAATTACAGTTACCCAAATGGTGCACTTCTGATTTTGACTTGTTTCCCTTTGTAGAAGCTGAATACAGAAGCTGAGGTTGGCTGTGTTTTCAGTGGGGAAGTAAAATATTATTTGAATCGTGTAGACTGTATTTGTCCTTTTGCATCTGGAAATGCATTTTTTAAAATTGCTGTGGGTGTATTCCTACAGTGAAATTGATTTTTAAAAATTCAACAAATTCATGTACAAACAGTTGTTGACCATTTCCTTTTTTGTTTGCCTTATCTAGAAACAGGTTTGTATCTTTCCTGTAACAATTGATGACCTTGCTGAGACATGAAGAAAAACAAGGAGACTGTAGTGATAGCTTCTACTGCTTAAAGAATTAGTCATCAGCTCCTTTAAAGTGAAACAGTAGTTCTTTGAACTTTGGTTTGTGTGGCATGAAGTTAATATTTTAAAGTTCTTTCCTACAGTTCTTGCATATAGTACTAAACGGAGCAAAAATTCATTTACTCTTTGATGAAAGACCACAGTGACTTTTCAGTAGTTGTGTTTGTTTTTTTGAATGCTGTCAAGGAGGAACATTTAGAATGCCATGCTTTTTAAGAGTTATTTTCAAGTAAGTGTTCAGATGAAATATGTCAAAAGAAAACTATATACAAAGGAAAATTGAATGTTAAATTTCGCTAATGTACAGATTGTCAAAAAGTTGAAAAGGCTTTAACTGGAGTAGGAGTATTTTAAAACAATTTAGTATTAAAGTAGAGGAGGAAAAGCTTGAAAATAAATTCCTTTACATAAAAATTGCTAGAGCTGGTGTCTAGCTTAGAAAGGTAGGTAAAAGGCTTATCTTTGTTATTTCTGTTTACTCTGTATTATGGATCTTTCATGAGGGAAGGTTCTGTGCCTTCTATATTTTGCAAGGGGATGACAACTGGAATATTAGGTTTCTAAGTTCAGTTTTGTAAATCTTAGTACGTGTTGCTTTATGCTGAAACGCGATGTAGGTACTAGTTTGAAGTGGGTTTTGAAAGTTAGTCTTTCCTATGGTTTTTCTAAATGTCACTCAGTGTTATTTCTGAAACGTGTGGTCAGTTGCTCTTAACACGTCAGGGTTAGGGAAGAAGAAATAATGGAAGACGCAGCACTGAACAAGCTGTGGCAGATCCAGAGTTCAGTTCAGCAGCAGCTGAAGACAGTTTCTGTTCAGGCTGCCAGTGGTAACTTGCAACGTTGCTGTCACCAACGTGAATGTGAAATGGGCTGGTTTTAGTCGCAAGTTAAGTTGAAAACTAGTTGCCTGTGGGGAATGGGTAGCTATCATCTGGTTCACTTCCCAGAGCAGCTTTCTGCCAGTGCTGCTGCGAGGGATGTCACCCTCTGTCACTGTGGGCGCGCTCCAGATGAGGGTAAGCACAGGCTTACAGCTGGGAATGGTCTCGCCCTCTATTGCTCACTTGGTTTTGGTGTCTTCCTGCTGTGCCAGTGTAAGCACTCACCTAGTTGTGCAAGACTGATCTTGCTGAATACATTACCTTAAAGAGAAAGAAAGCTAAAGGGTAAAAGGCAGGCAGCACAACCATTCCTGTTGGTGGCAGCTTGCTTTTGTTTGTTGTAGAAATGGTGCAATTGCACTCCGACATACTGTGCTTGAGACCCTGGAGTTGTGGAGCCCGTATCTGGTGGATTTTCCTTTGTGCTGTAGATGGACCATTTTCTTCAGTTAATCAGTTCAGTATCTGAACGCTCTTAAGAAATACTAACTGAGCAGTTCTTAAAAATGCTATTAAAACATTTAAGAACCTTTCCAACGTGTAATGTTGCTATTTTCTCTTTGAAAGATAATGACTATAACTCTGTGTATCAGTTTGGAACCAGGCCCTTAATCCTGTCCTCAGATCAGTGAAAATTGACTCTATATGGGTTTTTAAATTATTTTTAATTTTATTAATTTTT